TCACTGCACATTACTGAAGAAGAAAAAAAGAGACAATACTGCTTATTAACACCTTAAAGTGGAGACAGAGACATGTAAATTACTCAAAATATTACTAGAAATATTAGGTGTCAGCACATTAACATTTTTCTCATTCTTCAGCCTACTACCAACTTAAGCTTTTTTCATGAAGTTATTTCTTGCAGTGTAAATCACTGAACTGAAACTGGGTTTTTTAGACACTGGAAAACACATGTGCTTCAAACTCTCCATGAAAATGCATGCAAAGTTCAGGTCCAGTCACAAGGAACCAAGCAGTTTGTCTATTCGAAATAATAAAGTAAGATCGACATTCAAAGCCTTGCCAAATCAAATTTCGTGTGCTACTGCCAGTTTTGCCATAGTACTTGACAACCTCTTTTGGATAATTTAACACACCCTCTATTTTATTACATGGGTTACTCTGTTAAAGCAAATGTAAAATTAAAGGACTAGAATTAGAAACTTGCTGTCATGACATCTTTATTAGGTAACACAATTCCAATTTCGTTCCTCACCTCTCACACAAGCTGCAACCATCACACTTAACCGAGTTTATAGTAAATATGAGAATTACAGAAGTAATACAGTGATAGAAGAAATTCTGTACAAGCAGAGAGCAAAAGAGATAATGTGGAGTGAAAGAAAGAGCTGGTATGGAAGAGAGGTACAGGAAGGGTCCTTCAGGTGCTGGATGCTCCAGAAATCAAAGCTCTTGCACCTACTTTTGTGGGGTTGAATAAGAAAAAGGAAAAAACCAAGCCATACAAGAAATGAGGCTGTACACAAGGCTAGCAATCAGACTAAAACCCAAACATAACAAATCCACAAAAAAAACCCTTCATGTACACGCTTTAAAGCCAAGTAATTCTGAAAGTAATGCAGAGCAACCAGAGTTTGCCTGAGTGTTAAAAATGGGAAAATGATATCACTGTTCTTCTTTCTCCTTTATGATATAATAGCCAGAAGCATTATCTATACATCAGGCCTTGAGGCATAAAAATGGAATTGCAAAAGGCAACAAGAGAAATGGTTAAACAAAACTGAAAACTCTGAGAAATACCACAGTTCCATATAAACGGTAACACTTGAGGTTGGGTGAAGGCAAAGTTAGAACTACTACTAAGGCAAGCATTTACTCTAAGATTTATTTTTAATTACATGCCAGACTTCCTAGGCCATTATCCTGACTCAGGGATCCGATCTTTCCCTGTTCCCTCCCCTTGAGGGCAGACCCTGTGACAAGGGGGCATCCCGCCCCGAGGGACATGACATGGGCCTGCAGACAGAAGTATGCCCTTGCTCAATCTGTACAACACAGATCCTCTCCTCCAGGTCCCCAAACCTGATTCCTGGAAAGACCTTGTAGGGCTGCCTTAAGGACCAGTGAGCATCTAGTGTTATAGGTGGATGTAGAAACTATGCTTTGATCCTCTCGCTAGATAAACCCACGCCTTAACCGTACCATGAAAATAGTATTGTTGAGTTACAAGAAGCTGGTCACTCTCATGCAGAACTGAACTTAATCCACAATTATTTTTTTAAGTACTGCATGAACAACGAGAAGCTGGTCACTCTCATGCAGAACTGAATTTAATCCACAATTATTTTTTTTAAGTACTGCATGAACAACACAACAAGTGGAAATATCTGCACCTGTACGCATAAAACAAAGCACTAGACACACGACTATGTGATATTCACATGCACAGATACAATTTAAAGCCAAAGACAGAGGACAGATATAGATTCATCCTGTATATAGCTCAAGCATTCCTGAAAAACATTTAGAATATGGGTGAAATGATTTCCACCACCCACAAGTGTCATTTTTGGGAGAAGGATTCTATGAAGAGCAATGAAATACCGCAAATAGTAAAAATTCTGGCCCCAAATAGCTGCAAGTTTTACCAGAGAGTAGCGGGGAACTTCAGGCTTTCTAGTCACTGAAGTTGCTGAGGTATATGAACTCAAGTTGCTCAGCGTGGCTGCAGCAACATAATTTCCCTTTCCTCCCTTTGATGGGGGAGTTTAATCCCACCACAAAGAGTGTTAAACTCTTAATGAGCATCTGGAGTTATTGCACAAGCAACACAAATATGAGCCCTTGTTACATTTTGGTAAGAACACTTTTCTCTTTTCAAACCGACTATTAACCCAGCATTGAGATGATGTCTATACAATATTCACACAAACATTCCCCGAGGGTTTAGAAGCAAAACACATAAACATCTGTTGACAGAAAGCTCACTCTTATTATCATACATCTGGCTTTTTTACACATGGGCAAGTGAGAGGGAGCAAGGGCCTGTCCCACAGCTCTTTTTCTCCACATATGAGGTTCTTCGGATTAGAAGCTATCATTATAGGCAGATAGAAAAAGTAGACGTGTCTACCGTTCATTGCGATGTTATTCTACCTGCACCAAAGATGCCCACATTTTTCCAAGAGGGCTGCTGGAATTCTGCAGGTTGGTAAGAACAATTCTTGAGTAAAAATGCAGTTCCCAATCAATGAAAAGCAAGTGACTCCCTGTTATTCTCTATGAGAAGAAATCCATCCTTTTCACATTCTTACTCAGCCCTTACTATTCCCATAACATTTTCATGTAGCCTAGTATGCTTTTCACCCACCTCTGACCTTCTGAAGTGGTCTATTTTCAATTTGCCTAAAAACTATCTCACAGGTGATCATTTTGCAGCATGTGCCAGGTTAAAGGACAAAATACACCCACAGCCTCTCAAGTAAGCATTCTTATAAGTGTGAAGCGAGGGATCAGAAGAAAATAGGTCTTATTTTGTGATACACTGAAGTACTAAGACCCTAGACTCCTAAGCAGGATGCTTCTCCCCTGATACCAGTTTTCCCACCAGTTGCTGGGGAGCTAATTGGATGCTAAGTTTAACTACTGTGGTGTTAAAGAACACAGTCTCATTACTGCTTCTTTAAGCTCAAAAGTCAAGCCAGTGACAGGGAAGGTGGAAATCTGTGACACGGCTTGACCTCGATTGGGACAAGGCAACAACGCATTGACATCTTCTACTTCTTCCAAATTTCAGAAGCTATTTGGGACGTTAAGGAGTCCCGGCACACGTGGCTAGGTGTTGCTACTCAGAAATGGCCATAGTTGCATTTCTCTTGCCGCCCTTGCTGTGGCTCTGGCAGGCATACATGCATGCTCACAATGATTTCCATGAAAAGCTGAGTCTTGGCATCACAGAACACTGGGCACTTTTCTTAGGACATTTAAAAATGAACCTGTAAAATAATGCCCTTTCAACCACCCAATTCAAAAAGTGTAATACACGTCCATCTGCTCCAAAAGTACTGAAAGTACCGTTAAAAGGCAATTGAACTCCCTTGTTTCAGAGAACAGAAGTGGAAACTATTTTGCTGTCATTGTAGCTGACTGGATGTCTCCCTCCTAAGCACTGCCAGCCAGTAGAGTCCCAGAGGCTGCCTTTTTGTTTTTAAAGGCTTCTCAGGCTTTCTAAATTCACTACAGAGCTCCTCAGTCATCTCTTGTCCTTTCATATACACCACTGCAGTTGTGTGTGTTACTTGTGCCAAGTATGACACAGCAACTGCATTCCCCAATGCTTTGAAGATACTGCATCTCCTTCATGTGGGCTGATAGCCATGTATTACCTTAAGGCCTTTTGAGGTATGTTCATAGATAAAGCAAATATCTTAACTAATGTGCATGATTAACACCCTCTTGTGATTTGACAGCACTTTGGAATGGTATAGATTGCACACAGGTCAGTATCTCAGACCCCTGCCTGAGTACCATGTCAGTACTTGTACCTAACGTATTGGAAATGCCCTTTTATCTGTTCTTTGTAGCTCCAAGCACGTTAAGTAGTCAGTCAGAAACGTAGAGCAGAAACAGCTCCAAGTGGCAACGTGCCCACCTTTTCTTGTATTATACATGACAACATGCTTTGTTCCCTCCTGCAGGGAGGTTCTAGGATAGCACAGCAGCAGCTGGCAAGAGGAGAAGAGAATATCTACCCAGAAGCAATCTAAAACCCTCAAGTTAAATATTTTTCCTTCAACAGTAATGCTTTACTATTGCCCACGTGTAGTGCACCAATATAAAAAGCTCAATCCGTACTGCTGTCAGTTACTCTGGGATGAATATTTGTACTTGGTATGAAAGAAGAGAGGTGCAACACAGTATTGCTATCAAGAAGGCTTTTTGGTAAACGCTGGTCACTTAGTGAAAAAGCACCCTGCACAGTGAAGCAATTGGAAGTTATTCCTTACAGGTAAATTTGGATGCCAGGGAATGGGGTGGATCTCACCTAGTTTTTAAACACTGCCTTGAATTCAGTTTTGTCATGGTCCTAAGGTAATGCAGTCGCTGGAAGTGGATGGAACAGGGTCAGCTTAGAGTTGCTGGACGTCACCAACTCAGAGTTCAGATAAAACAAAAATTGAAATTCCAATTGTAAAATGCAATTCTAGTGCTTGATAATAGTGGGTAAAAAAAACCCCCTAAACCCAAAACAACAAAAGAGGACACACAAAATAATGTATTGCAAAGTTTTTTTTCTTTTTAATTGACTTTCAGAGTAGATTAAGCATTTTTTAAGATTTTATATACATTTATTCTTTCTCTTCTCATCATGCTAATGACAATTTGAACATTAAAACTTGCATTATTCGTTACCTCCATTGACAGAAAGAACTGAAAAATAATGGAAGTCTAATCTTCCAAATTTAGAAAAAAAATTTCTCAAAGATTTATACTCTCTGAAGTTTGACAGTGACTGTGACTCAGTTTAACTCAGAAAATACTTAATGATGTACCTCAAAGATACACTTAATTTTAATTAAGCGGGTAATCTTACTATTTCAGCAGAAAAAAATAGACGTACTTTAAACTACTGTGTTTATATGTTTTAATAGATGGGGGCCAAGCACCTGGCAGAAATAAATTATATATTAAAAAAAAATCAATAATGAAATATGGTAAAGCTAGCTTCTCTGCAGAGAAGCTAAATTAAAGTACTAAATTAAAATACAACTTGCACAAAAATGCCATTTTTCCAATGCAAAATTTCTCTCTTATCAAATCTATTGTGATACTTAATTTTTTGAATGTTTCAACAGCTGGAAACAAACATTTTGCCTTTCCTCTCAAGGAAAGAACCACCATTCTAGCTGATCAGGTTGTCAAGAGAACATGAAAAAAGTGAACTCAGGGCTCTAAAACCAGAAGACAAATAAAAGAATGAGTTATTTACTGTTTAAATCTCATGACTACTTAATGCAAGGGGTTGGAGATAATTGTGTCTTCCCTAAAAGAAATATATTCTTCTTCCCTTATTTGTGGTATGGATAAAAATATGGTTCAGGTGTAAGTACAGTAGCTTACACAAGTTATTAATTATTTACAATAGAGATTAATATGCTGGTATTCTTTACCTTTATAAGAATACAGTGATGAATTGAAAGTATGAGCCTGAACTGACTAAAAATAGCTTGAGTTCAGGGTATATGTAACAGAGAAGTACATCTAATATGAACACATCCACCAAAATAATTGATTTACAAAATCTCAGCCATATAAATAATACAAATCTTTGAAAGATAAGCTAATAATGTTAAAATCTAAAAGTCATGTTTAATTCTTTTATGCAATCTCAGACATCCTCTAAGAACAGAGTCTAAGGGAAAACAGCTCTGTTTTCCTGAGGGTTAATTCATGTGTATTTAAACTATTTATATTCAGCCTTGGGGAGGGAAGGGGAAGAAACAACAAAAAAAAAAGAAAAGAAAAGATTTTCCCCTCATAATAGCCTATGCTGTTGCAGTCTCCCTAAATCTACCCAACTAGCAAAAAGAACTCAAGTAAGAGCAAAGACAGACTATTTTCCTGTCTGGGCAAGAAGATATTCATCATCCTCACTGTTACATGCACAACCTAGCAGACACACAGAAGCACACCGTAGTTAGGAAAATTCTTTCAAGTTAGTTTTGAAATATACAATGCATCTGAAAAAAATATTATTTCACAGTTTTGCATTCCTTTCCCAACTCCCCAGTATGTGACAAGGACACTTAGGGCTTGTATTTCTTTATGCTGATTTGTAGGGTTTAGGATTGAATACGAAACAAGAGTTTCTGACTACTTACCCACTCTTCTTCATCATACTCAGAATGATGGGGTATGGAGTCCTGTCTTTTAATCTGAGAAGGATGATCCTGATGCTGTAAATCACCCCCATCTTCTGCACTGGTTCTAGGCACAGCTGGTTTCTTGAGGACGCAGCCAGGCCGGGCTGTGTATAGTGCTAAAAGGGCACTTCTGACCAGCTGATCCTTAAATGCATGCACAAATAACTCTGTCTAGGAAAAAAAAAATAAAAATGAAAAGGTTAGACCAAAGAATGCGATGCTGCAGCATAGCTATTATAACACTGAATTACCCTTAAGCAGAGTGGATATTTGTTTCAGGCTGGCCTGAGAGGCAGAAAACAAAGTAGATCAACAAACAATGAGGAACGATTCAAGGGTTTTAGGGACATCACCACATTCTACAATCCCAGCGTTCTAAGGATTAACACAAAGGTACAGGATCTGTCATAGAGATCATCATCTTTTCATACAATCCTATTTTATTCAAGTTCCAAATTTTGCCTGCAGAGACGAGCCTCTACCAGTTCCAAGAGTAACCAACCACTGCTCAATTTCTGAATAAGTGTCAGATAAAACATGATTAACAAATTTAAGGATCTTTATAAATAAAAACATGCCACTCTACACTGCTGAGATTGCAGGATCTGCAAAAGCAGTGTTTCCAGAGGTAAATTTTGTTACCTGTAGGTATTAACCCACCTATCAATGCAGGTGATGACACCTGATTTCTAGCTTTATTTTATTTATTTTTAAAGAAAGCAAACCTTGAAGTAGTTTTTCTAGGCTCTCTGAAGATGTTATTCAATCACTGTATCATTTTTCTAAATCCTCCTTGTTGACTGTGACAGCTGGATGTTTACCGTGTTTTCAAAAACCTCCAGCCTCCCTGCATTGTTTATCTCCCTTCCACCCCAACAAGAAAAGGAAAATACTTTCTGCACATGGTCTTTAGCATTTGTAGACCGTGTCCATGTAATAACACTTGCTGTTGCCACCAGTCTGCCACACATACCCATCTCCTGCAGTCACACGCCACATGTGGCCCTATCTCTGCTACTCCTCTTAGCTTAGGAGGCCGGTTTATTCACTCCATCAGCTGACAGGACTTACTGAACAGGAGAAGGTGAGGTGCAAGGACATGTTTCCTTTTGCTACAGGGCAGTAACAATTAGCAAAGCCACGGTGACAGACAGCTGGAGCGAGTCACAGTTTTGGTTACATCAACAACATTCAACAGGGTTTGTCCGTCAGAGTGGGGATGAAACGCTGTTTTGCATTTCTTTCACAACACAATTACCTGAATTTATTTATCCCAGGCCAGTGGGATTTAGTTGCCTTCCTATTTACCCAGAACACAGTGGATTGTCACATGCAGATTCAGATGCTGAACTGCCCTTGCGCACGTAATCTTTAATTAAACAGACATGTGGAAAATTACGTAGGTAAGTCAGAGCAACCAGCCTGAAGGAGTAGTAACACAAAGCTAGGAAATGCTAGAAATAAAGCTGGCCCAGCCAAGCTTCATTCAGTCCTTTCATGTTTCTTACACAAAACCTGTAGGAGAAGTAGCAAAAAAACCCAAATCAAACCAGTTTCAAGTGTCAGCATCTATCTTCCTGGAAATGTTTCTCCCAGCTTCTGCACTTCTTACTTCTATTCTTACCCCAGCCCTTTTTGCTAGTACTTGCTCCCCTTTTGTATGCCTCTACTCCTACTCTACTTATTTTTCTTGCTTTCCTGCCTCAATATCCCCTCAAAAGTTTACTGAGATTTAGACCACAATGCTCTAAATAATTGATGGTTTTCTTAAAGGTCCAGCTGCTGAGTTAGGTACCTGCTTGAGAAGTTTCTGCTTTTTCCCATTTTCGCGATGTTTAGGAAAAAGCTATTTTTAATCCTTAATGGTTGCACATAGAAAGGTTGAAAATCTGTTGCACATAAGACTCTAAAGTCCTAAACATAAGAACCATAGGGATATCTAAGCTAAGTTACAATTTTTAAACCAATATCAGGACATCTTTCAGACCTGATTTGGGAATCTTTAGTGATCAGGCTTGGCAACACTATTCATCTCCCTGGCAATTTTACAAAACCCATTCTGTCTCCTCCTTACTAACTTGGCACCTGAGGGAAAGGGTGCTTAAACAGAGACAGTTTTCTTATCCGAAGCCCTTCAGGACTGCCTCATGGTACTCCTGAGATGCACTAGTGGACAATTCCAGTTTTCTACATTTCCAGCCTGCATATGGTGCATGCTCAGAAAATACGTAGGCTTTGGGGAATATTGCTAGCAAAGATTACCAATCTGCTATAAAGAAGAGGCAAAGTGCGATTTGCAGAACTGTCTTTTCTTACACGGTAACAGCAGTGCTCGTCTTCAAGACTGTTCTACAGTTCCATATTAAGAGGGTCCAAACTACCTTACTTGTCTGTCCTTAGAAACGACAACATCGTGGTTTTGCTGAGGTTTTGCACCTCCCCTCCACCTCAAAGTCTGCGTGAGATTGTTTCAGATCTCTGCATTAGGCATAGTAGACTCAAAAAAGCTTTAAATTTCAGAAAATTCTAAGTATTAGACAACTTGAAGTAAGGAATGCCCACTATGACTGCAATGTATATTAGGTAACTATCCGAAAAGTTTAAGTAATTTAATTTAATATAAATATTTCATAGGCAAAATTTATATAAAAAAGCAAACTAATATGGAAGCGAACCTCCTTTTTTTCACATAGAGACTAAAATGTTTCTGTAATTAAATTCCATTCAGAGAATCCAACAATCTACATTTTAACTGCATTTTCTTACAGCTCAGTGCAGCTAAATTTGCAGAACATCACCATTTATAAAATTGTATTGAAGTCACAAAACAAGTCTATACAAAGAAATGAAAACTTTGCAAATTCTTTTAGATACTTGACTAAAGAATATTTCTGCAAACAAAGATAGGCATAGCTAGAAAATGTATTTATCAAGCCTTCTGCAAGCTGCAAATGCTGATACACTTGTCGACAGCTAAAGGCTTCCTTAATCAATTAACAGAAAGTGTTGATAAAAGGTTAGTCTTAGGAAAACACTACAGTAAATTGCAAATCATATATGGAGAAGTAAAACCATGCTTAATATGAGAAAATAAGCTCAATTTAAGAAGCAGCAGTAGAATTATTTGATTTAATTTTCCACTTTCAATCCATGCAGCCAGTCCTTCCATTTCTAACATAAATACTTAACTGTAATTCACATTATTGGTAGCTCAGATATACTCACTGCTACCTCATGAAAGAATTACGATGTATATCAAGCTTAATATTGTGATAAAAGAAAATGTGATATGCTTTTTAATAAATTTGCAGAATTTGATTACCAGGCAAATAATTTTTACGACTTCTTCAAACAACTGTTTAATTTCTAAATTTCTATCAAGTTAAAATGTTAGAGAACATTTCTTTTTTACATATAAAAAGTATACAAAAGGTGGGAGGAGCAGAAGCACCTCACATGCCTCAAGAATACAGGTAGGCATCACACAACCCTATGCAGAAGAGCACAACAACCTATCCTAAATATAACCAGGGACACTCTGTTAATCCTGGTTCTCCCATCCTGCACCAGACTATATAGATAGGTTATCTTAGGATATTGAGATGATAGCCATGAGGGATCTAATTGCAGCACCATGTGGGTTCACTCAGTTTGGGTTTTTGAAACTTAATATTGCCCTTCCCTGAAGTTGCTTCTTGGTCTTCCCTCCCTTCTTTACGAAGCTGTCCCTCCACACTAGCTCCTCAGCTATGGTCCTACCCTCTTTTCTCAATTATCGTCTTCTCCTCAGACTAAATTTGGGAACAGACAAGGAAGCAGGTATTCAACCATTCATGCTGCAGTTGTTCAGACAACTGGATCGATCTCTTCCAAGCAAAAGGTGGAGGCTAGATAGAAACTATGGGCTGTCAGGTGGACTATGTCGGGTGAGAGTCTCGCTTCCACTTCTGGGAACCTGTGCTCATATACGAACCAGCAATTTAATCCTGGCCCTGAAAAGTTGGTATGAACATCAACAACTAAATCACCAGCCATAAATTTAAAATACCTGTGACTTTTCCAAACTAAATGGATTGTCTTTTTTGGCCCTTTTCTGTAGCCAGACTCTCCAATAAGCCATGGTTCAAACAGTGGGTTAGTGTCGCAGCTGCCTGCAGCCACTCTGAAATCATCCACTCCTCCTGCCCAGAGGCAAAGGTTGGAAGGGCAAAGCAAATGGCCATCGCTAACAGGCAAATTCCTTAGCAACCAGTTCTTGAATCTTCAGAACAAACACTTCTTTGTTTGATTTGCTTCACTTGTGCATGCACCTTTCTTTGAACTAACCACTAACAGAGCAGCTCCACTTCTTCTATGTGCAGCTAAAAACGGCCTCCTTCAGTACTACATGGAAAGATATGCTATAATTGCCACAAAACAACCTCCCTAAATTCCTCCATTTCCAGGCTGAATTCTGCTTTCCTTCAGGTTGGATATTAGGAAGAACTTCTTCACTGCAAGAGTCGTTAGGCATTGGAATGGGCTGCCCACGGAGGTGGTGGACTCACCGTCCCTGGAGGTGTTCAAAAAATGTTTAGATGTGGCGCTTCGAGACATGGTTTAGCGGGCATGGTGGCGTTGGGTAGAAGGTTGGACTTGATGATATTTGAGGTCTCTTCCAACCATAATGATTCTGTGCTTCTATGATTCTATATTACCCCTGACATTCACAGCGACTCCAAAGTTCTCAGAGTTACTGTGGATTTACACATCTGTAACTGAGAGGAACATTTATCTCCCCCGTGGCTCCAACGCAATGCCTTCACAGTATGTAGCTGAGCTCAATATTCAGATTTGAAAGTCTCCATTGAACGATGTACTGCTGGGATAATAGCGCTCAGCAGACCACAGGGGTTGCCCCTTCCCAATAGCTGAAGATATATTGAAATGGTTATTGATAGTGTTATTAAGCCTTATTGAGACCACATTACAGAAGGTATGGCCCATGAAGCGACAGGAAACTTTTTTCAACCCCTCTGGTCATAGCCATAGAGCTTAATATCTTTATACGATAACATATGCTTTAAAGTACTTCAAACTTCAGCTAATCTCCAATATCACTCTGAGACACAGGTGGAAAATATTAGCTTCCTTAATTTAGAGCTAAAGAAACTAAGACAAGGAAGAGCCTACAGCTACAAAGAAATATAACAGGAGAAAGAGGATTAAAATTTGAGACCTCCTGGCACCAACTTCCTAGCTTCTCCTTCGAGACTGCATTGCCATTTCTGATCATGCTATTGTTCTAAACTTTACACACAAACTTGGCTTGAATTACCTCCAAGAAATAAAATAACTGTTTATCATACCACAAAGTTATTTACAATAATTTACAATAATCTATTTTTGATAAACTCCAGTATGTGGCCACTAGAGGATAACAAAGACAAGTTAAATTAAATTAATTACAATTTCAGATGAAGACAACCTTTATAGATTTCATTAATTTTCTACATGGAAAGCCTACAGAAATGCTAAATAATATTCTTTTTCTGATAGCAACATTTTGAAGCTTATTTTAGCAGAGCTTATTTAACATTTCCTAGTCAATTTATGCAGGAAAAAACCCAGCAGTTAGAGACTTGGTTATTCCATTTTGCACTGCAGTAAAGATATGAATCTTACTTTTTCTGAAAGCATCTTTAAAGAATTCTTCAAGCTGTCTGGAGAATGCTGGCTTGCAGAATTAAGCAGCAGGTCTGCATGGCTTGATATGAGAGGTTGTAGGTGATTGATGTTGCTGAGAACTTCTTTTGCCTTGGCTGTGTTTTCAGGTGAATAGTAAATACACTGGTATCCAGTACTGTAATAAGAGAGAAAGAGTCACATAATGTCAAAATAATTTCTGCTATTAATAACAATGCTTAATGTGCTAAAAATCTTACCACTAGTTTTGCAAAAAGTGACAGATATCTGAACTTCACTGGTATCACTGAAATGCTCCTTCCTTCAGGGTAAAAACAAATTTTTGCTTGAACAGTAGAGGATAACAGACTGCCCACCACCAAATGCTCCAAGTAGTACTGTTCAACCTAATCATCCCTTTGAATGATTGATCTTAGCATAAGAAAAACCAATCTTTATTTATTTATTTTTTTTTAAATGTAGTTCTGGAGAAACAAAAGGTTTGATCAAGTTAGGTTATAATCACAAAGAGCGTAAGGTTCCTTATTTTTCCAACTGAACTACCCATCATATTATTAACTACCTCACTAAGTCTTTCAAAATGAGTCATTAATGTTTAATTGATCCGTGGCCCACACAATGTTTTGATTAGCATCAGTGATGTCCAGGAAGTGGTGATAACCAGAGTTAACTCCAATAAAAACTATGTGTCTAATTTGCAAGAAAAGACACAGAAATGGGGTGTGGGAGTTGATTACTACAAAACCACAAATGCATACTGGAAACTTCCTACTTTCCTTTTAACTGTTCACAGAATACTGCAATTATTTTGCATGACTTCTTTTCCTATCCCTTGTTTTTTTCCCCCCAACATTTAACAATTATGTAATATCCTTTTATACCATTATTCCAAAATGCCATTTTAGACACCATGCACGCACCTGCTGGTTCTTCGCTGTAGTATACATCTCCCCACCTAAGACTTTGGTACATAATCTTTCCCTTTATAAAGCCCTGCTTCAGTCTTTCAGAGAAACTAACCAAAATCTTTAGCAGTTTCAGATTAACCTATAATGTCAACACAGGAAAAAATATAACCAAGCAACTCCTGGAACGTTACCAATGCCAAAGTAATGTATGTACTATTCCCTGGTTGGTTCCATATGTATTTCCCCTCTTTCCTCTTGTGTCTTTTCATCATACATCCTTCAGTCTCTTCCACCCTTTCCCCACTGATTTAATTTCTTTCTTAATTTCACATATCAAGACCTGAATTTTGACACTCTTGCAATCCTTTGAACTTCATGCATTGCTTTTCATTTCAGTCTTTTTCCAGATCTCTTCACTCTCCCATTTCCCCTTTGTGTCTTCTAGTGTCCCTTCCAGTTCCTCCTCATTAATTTTCTACAAATTTGATATTAAATTTAATTCAATAAAGGACATAGGCAACGCACATTCAGAAGTCCAAATGAAGTCACTTCCATACAACTTAAAAGGCTTAAGTCTTTTGTCAAATACAGATAGATTCAAGCAGTTTTAAAACTAAGGCTCTTGCTTAGATACTTTGCCGAGTTGCAGTCCCAAATGCCACAATACCCCATCCTATTTTTCCATCTTTCACCAAATATCTCCATTTTTAGATACAATTCTTTGTAGGGGTAGTCAGGGTGAATGGCATCTGAGTCAGCGAAGCTTTGCATCAGTCACGCTACCAGCCAAATAAAAATTTGTGCGTCTCCAATTCGTAGTCCACTACATGAGTTGCTAGATTGCTGAGTGCAGAGGTAAGAATTCTGAGTATTTCAACAAAATGAATTGTATAAACTCTCTCTTAATGAATTGGGCAAAAAAATTCCCGTCCCTCTGAGAAATGATGACACAGCCACAGCTCTGCCTTCAAGGTGGAAACATTGTTAATGAAATGAACTTCCAAAGTTAGACCTATCTCTACATTTCCTGCAACTCTCAAGCTGCCAGACTCAGTAGACAGGGCAGGGACAAAGAATAATAGTCTATGTTAATTGTAGTGAAGACATAGTCTTAAAAGTCTTGATACTTCACAGCGCTGAATAATCTTCTCTAATTCCCCTTCAGGTTTTATGTCCCTTTATCAAACAGCCTTTTTGCAGGCTGAATCTGGCTAAGACTGTTATCAAGCTCACCATGCACATACTCCTTTCTGGGATTCCCCTTGGCCTTTAATTCCCAGATCCTTTCCACTGATGTCCCACAGCTCTAAGCTTCACTGAATACTGCAGCAGAAAAGCTACAGACAATGCTATAAGAAAAGAAAGAGGGAAGAGAGATACTAAACCTGTGGGTAGTTCTCATTCTAATAAAGTCAATCAGAGCTTTTCAACAAAGGAAATGGTGAAGACAGAATGACTCTTTCTTCAGAATGAAGTGTTCTATCAGACCTCATTATTTGGCTAATTTTAACGTTTTTTGAACCTCAGCATGAGACAACTCCAAATATTCAGTTTCTTTCAGAGTTTGAGGGCAACTTCCTCCCTCACCTCAAGAAAGTGCATAATTAGTTTTTAGAAAAAACATGTTTGGGAGTATCTGAAGTTCATAATCGTTGTGTCTCAGCACTGCTTCATCTAAAACTAGCCTGAGATTTTCTGCAGCCTGGCCATTCATGAAAAGACAACACTAGTTCCAATTCAATGAAATTAGTTTCCTTATATATAACTATCTTTAGAGCTTGCTGCCACATATAGCTATGGCATATAAATCATATTACTTAAAAGAAGCAGCTGCCAATAGAACATACAGAGAAACTTTTCACAGGTGTCCTAGTGTAGAAACTAGATGAAGGGAATTACAAGTAAGAAGAAACTTTTGCATTAGGGCAAAGGCCACATGGGTAGGTCCAGACCGGGAAATCAGCAGCACTATGAAAACCTGCCTTTGATATGTAAAATACAGTATTAGTCATGTACCTTTCAAAAAACTCTATAATAATGTCTTCTGGGTCAAGTTTCAAAGCTTTCACTCAGCATATAAAAAAAAAATCACACAATCATTTCCACATATTGGCACCATCATTAACTGCGTACATACAACTGTCAGTGGTCATATCAGTTTTAAAATTGCTTTAATGATACTGTCATGTAATTTGAATAAAGATTACATTGATGACATCTGCAATTTGAACTCTAAATTAACAAAATTTTTGCCTGAGAATAAATACTGCAATATGCTAAATGTCTAATTTTTAATGACACTCCGAGTAACTCCACTCCTGCTGTTAACTGAGGAATTTGTGTGACTGAGTTAAATTGTCACCATCTGGGACTAGGTTAAAATCTTTCAACAATGAACATTTGACCTCGCATTTTTCATGGTCAAAACTGCAGACATTAACATCAAGAATACAGTTAAAACATACCCAGCAAAAACATCTACCTCCAGATACCCTTGAGCTTATGTACATTACTGAAGATACCAATTCAGTGGCTTATTTGTGCATCTCATGTATTATGTCTAAAGTGGGAAGTTATGATCAAAAATAAATTGCCACATAAAAAAAAACACCTCAGGACAATTCACTGCCTCAGGAAATAAAACTGAACCATGTGATCAGTGCTGAGGTTTTGAAAACAGGCCTGAGAGAGATCAAAACTTCAAATTAACTTTTTCTATTTCCTTAAGATTCCCTTGCAAACTTAGAAATTCTAACTTTGAATACTGAGGAAAATGAAATTATGTTAATTAGTTCTAATCTGTCTTTACTTATGAAGTCCAAATCTTCATGAAACCTTATCTTGAAGCAATGGCTAAGGCAGTATGCACAGAGATTCTCTTGCTGCTCTTCTATTTCCCCCTCATTCCTAACTGACCCTTGCAATAACTGCACATCAATGCCTTCAGCTGGTGATAGGACATGAGTTTCAGTGAAAAGAAGGGTCAAGATGCCCTTCATCAGCCCTCTAGAGACCTAAGGAGGACTGATGCCACAGTGGCATAGGTGAATCTCATAGTGAATCTTCCTAGGAAGACTCACTCCAGGAAGGCTGAATGCCTAGGGAGAGCCTTGCACAGTTCTTCAAATTAATTTTAGAATATCTTTGCATTCGTGGAAAGATGCAAGTCCCCTTTAACATAGGGGAGAATCTTACACAGGGCAACTGAGCATGGCTGGTATCAGAAGAGAAAAGGTATTGTGCCTCACCACAAGCCTGAGGCTAAACGGTGCCTTTCAGTGGAGCCTTTTCCTGGCAACCTGCTGAAGTGTGTGTTACAGCAAAAGTCATGGATCCACTCTTCTTGTGTCACTCCTAAAGTCCATGTAGACGGAATAGTTTCTTGTTCTCCAAAACATATGATTCTTTCTAATCTCCACATGCAAAGCTCCCTGACTTGTCCTTCCCTTCTTTTTCCAGCCCCAGTCCCCTTTCTTTTATGCTTGCTTAAGGAAATGCTTCAGGAAATTCTGTCCAGAGAGCCTAGAGTCTGGAAAATACTGTGATGAGATTTTTTGTATCTCAATGAATAGCACAAACTTCGGCAGTTTCCCAGCAAAGTTTCCAACAACCTTAATACACTGATTTTATGGTCAGTGGGAAAAATCTTCATCTCCATGAAGTCTAATCTCTCTTTCTCATGCACACATAGATACACACACACAGCTAAAAAGGGAAAAGCAAGCAAAGAATAATGTCTCTGTCAAAAGTGCTATGCATGACAGGCTGTGGTTTCCCTTTGAGAATGAAGGTTACAATTAGATCGAACACAAATCATTATTATTTCAACATCTCTGGGATTTTCTGTGAAACACTACGATGGAATGGAATGGAAATGGGTTGAAGGTTATGAAACTCAGGTAATAGGAACCCTGAAGATCTCAGCATTAATGAAATTTCTGGTAATGAGTATGTTAGTGAAGGCACACACCTCACACCTTGACCAAAAATCTAGGCCTCGTCAAATAAAAAAACGGTCCTTTTAGACAGTTCAAATCCAAATTAAATCATTGTGGCTTAAAAAAAAAAAAACAACAACGCACAACAGAAAATCCTTTTCCATACTATTCCAGCTTTAAGCTCGTACTAATTTAAAGCTGGATCATTTCTGAAGAACTTGCTAGAAATGGTGTACAAAACCATAGGGAATCACAGCTCCTAGTGCAGCTTGTGGGACATCTCTGTTTTTCTTGATGGTTAGTACTGGGGC